TAAAAAAGTAAATCAGAGCTAAAAAAGTGCAAAAACGCAGGCAAATTTGCCTGCGTTAGTCTATATATTAAGGGATAAGGTTCAGTATATAGGCACAATAATATTAATACAATAGGATTCTATTTGTGACGAGCATGTTTTGTTCACCTAACTTGTACTTTATATAGATCATAGTAGCATCATTACTAGTTGCATTGTTTAAAGTAACTACTAATATTTGTAAAAGTGTTAACACACATATATCTATAAAGAAATTGGCAAAATTACTAAATACTTGCTTTAGATATGATATCCCAATCTTCAAAACACTTAAAAAATATATCACTAATAATAGCTTCTGTGTGTGATGAAGAAACTAATTTAAATGCTAGGAGTAGTTTTCAAATATTCCAATCTTTATTAATAAAATGGCCTAAAAAAAGCATAACAATTAAACAACTATATTAAAAAAAAATAAATATAAATATTTATATATATACTTGTAACAGCTATGTAACCAAGATTTTGATTTAAAATCTATAAATCAGTGGTAAAACTCAAATGTCAAGTGTATTCTATATCATCATATAAACTTGCACCTTAAGATCTGCAACACAATTATTACAATCTTCACATGTCATCTTTTCACCTATTACTTTAAACTAAGATCACAGGTTTTTAACAAATTTTAAAAACCCCCTTATAACAACTATATGAAAAGAATATCCATGCATCAAAATCATATCTGCCAAGTTTTTCTGACTTTTCTCTTAAGAGAATTTGTAGGTAGTAATACTTGAAGAAAAAAGTTGCAATTCTTGTTAAGATATATCTTTAATATGCTTATTACATTTGATTTGCTTTAGATACCAGATCAAGAAACTTGTTTCTGATCTACTATTGTATTTAAAATTAGTCTTACAATACATGCATTAAGCACAGTCTACTAGTAATTATAAATATTTTAATAAACAATTGTAAAAATAAAATATTTAATATTAAATTTCCTTATACTCTTATATAGCAAATTATTTTTGATAAAATATCTTTTTAAAAAACCTATGATAGTTCTCTGCCAAACTTACGTTTCTTAGTAGCAAAAACCACTTTAGAGACTACTTCAGTATTTTTATCTAAGACTATTTCACTTGAGACCATTTCAACTAGGATTCCACAAACTCAAATCAAATCAAATATTAGATTAATTTGAATTTGATTTGATTTATTCGAATCAAATATTAAATTAATTTGAATTTGATCAAATTAAATCGAATCAAATATAAAGCTAATTTGTATTTGATTTGATTTGATTAGTTATTTGATTAATACGATTCACGTAATGAAGGTTTTGGAATTCTCTATTTCAAGAGCTTATTACGCATAGCTTGTGCCGAGTGCTTGAGCGTACTCTTAATATTTCTTATAATCTTTGCTATGCCTTCTAAAAAAAATCTATAAAAAGTTTTTTCTATTCAACGAGCTGTTAAAGCTTCAGCTTCAGTTGTGCCGGCTTTGAGATCTTTTAGCTTTTATAGTTGTTACTAGACTTTCTCAATGCATTGAGCCTTCTTTTGTGATCTTTCTGAGGTTTAGACCTTTCAAGATCTTTTAGATCTTTACTATGGTCGTGAAATCTCTTACTGGCTGGATACAGCCGAGGACACTCTTGAGAGTTACTAATATTATGGTCTTTAGAAATATGAGTATCAAACTCTTTGAATTGAGACAATTCTTAATTATTTGGTTCTTATTTAATTTTAATATTATATTAATATCTTTATTCTCTTTTAAGGGGTTATCAAGATCTATGAACATCTTTTGATCAAGCATCGAAGACATTCCATCATGGTCTTTTATAGTAAGCTGGTTGAGTGACTTTTGAGGATACTCTGTTGATGTTAGATAAGTATTTGTTTCCTTAACTTGCTCTTTGGTATTAGTATCTTGTTCTTTTGGTGTCTTACTAATTATATCCTGGTCTTCTCTGTGTTCTATCTTTTCATCAGAAAACTCTACACAGGTTGATTCTTGGGAACGAACGTTTTAAAAGTGGGAACTAATAATCTATAACTAACTAACAAAAAAACATAACTAAATACTATAATCTATAAACTAATAAAGGTAATGATAAAACCGAAACTCCAAAATTGAAAGGCTGTGATCGAGGCGTGGTAAGATTTGGTCTGAGTTTTTGGATGCTTGGGCCTAGTAGAAACAATACCCAGGTTAAGTTGAGTCTTCTTTTATTTCTTTTGAGAGTTTACTTGACGTATGGCATATAAGCTAATACTAACAGTTCTATTTTCTTCTTGCTTTTCAAAATTTCTCTATCCCGGGTCACATGTTACGAGACTCAAAGTCAATAATGACGAAATTTGATCAGAGTTTAATTTATTTTCGTATTTATAAGGGATCTGATTACTAATTTAATGGTTCTCTCTCTCTCTCTATTCAAGAATAACGACTTTTAGAGGTATCACAAGGACACGAATATTTTATGAAAGACAATTTATTATGTATAACTTAATGATCCAAGGAAATAACTACTAGAGAACCAACTTCTACTAACGTTTTCAAAGTTAAGAACTCGACTGAGTTAGTTTTTATTGAAGCGAAAAGATTGGTCTTGTCTACTTTTAGACCACTACTAATTACATGAGGGCTGTGTTCGTTATTGAAACTTCTTTTTACTATATTCTTTTTACATAAGAATTATACTAACTACACATTTTTTATTTTAAGGCAAACTACGCTGTGCGAATTTGTGTGAATAGAATTTATTCGAAATTGAACGAATTTAATTATTCTGCTTCGTACAAATTCGAATGATCACCTTCGTACAAAATTGAATGAGCTAAAGAGGGCTTATACTAATTCGTTCAAATTTGAATGAACCTTGTACGTAAGTTCTATTCTTAGTAAAGATGGTCATTTTTGCTTACTATTCTATTCTAACTTCGTTATACTAATAGTAATAAAATAATAATAGGATAAAAATAGAGAAATAAAAAAATAACTCCCGTAAGTGCCCAAAACCCGTTTACAATGTGATTCTTTACACCTTCTATAGTTATTTTTCTGTTTCGTGTTTATTTTATTTAAATCTTTTAATTCTAATCCCAGTTGTTGATTTTGATGTCGATGACCAACTTAAAACGTTCTTGGGCACTGCCCAAAATAAAAAATTTGACATGTCGAATGGCACTATTCGAATGCCATTCGGCATGCCATTCAACTTATCATATAATTTCGCGGACATGAATGTCCGTGAAGTCATGTGAATGGTATTTGAATAGTGCCATTCGACATGCCATTCAGTATGCTATTTAACTTTATCACATGACTTCACGGACATTCATGTCCGCAAAATTACACTGGCGATCATAAGTAATACAACAAAAAAAAATTTTTACTTAGATCGCATTATTTCCTGCAATTCCGGGTGTATCCTTTTATTTTTTTTTTTATTTTACTTGTAAATAGTATAGTATTCACATAAAAAAATCTTAGAATGTATTAATAAAGTAGATTTTTTATGAGCATGAGCTTTATTTAAAATTATGTGTTGCATTACTTTTGCTCGTTTTAAACACAACACGAATGTAAAACAAAAAAATTTTTTTTTTACATATAAAAAAAAAAATTTTTTTTTCTATTTTAATATTTTATGGCCGCCACAACATGGTGTATCCACCTTGTGCCTTGATTGCTTTACGAACTTGTTCTAGCATTGGGATAGATCGGACGATATAGGTCTGCACCTTGATTTCTATCTAGGCCACCTGGATCTTGCCCCAAAGATTTTTTTCACCTGAAATTCGTCTTAAATATTTCCAAGCCAATGTTAAATCGTTAACCTACAAATATTTAAACGAATGAGTTCAGAGGACGAAGATATTAATTAAAATCTTTGTCTAATTATTTCTAAGCTAAT